AAATTCTCAAAAAGCAAATCCATTCCCAATTCCAAGAATAAATATATATCTAATAAATTTTAATATTATAAATATTCCTATTATATTATTGTATAATATTAAATATATATATATATATATATCATTATAATTCAAAAATAGTATTTAAATATAGATTTATTCGTAAATTTTATTAACAAAATTCATAAATATAAAATTTCATATACCATATAATCTAATTTATTTATTTATAATATTATTTTTATAAAACAAATGTTCAAAGCAAAAAAACAAAAAACATTCCCAATTCCAAAAATAAATATATATCTAATAAGTGTTAATAATATAAAAATACCTATTACATAATTATTTGACATTAAATATATATATATATATATATATCCTTATATTTCATAAATATTATTTAAATATAAATTATATATATACTTAATTTATTTAACCATTTTCAAAATTCAAATATTAAATTCATTATATATATTTTTTTAAATTATATTTTTATAAATTATAATTATATATAATTTTTCGTACAAATTTCATATTAACACCGTACTAATAATTCCCAACTTAAACACTAAAACACAAAACTTATTAAAAACAACACCAAAAAAACTAAATCATGAGTAAAACAACACATCTCATAACACGAATCTATTCCGTTTTATCGTTTGTTAAAGATATAGTATTTGAGTAATATTGAATCATTAAGGTCCAACAATTAATTGTCTCCTCAATGGGGAAGGGATGATTCTGCGAAGAAAGAACGTAGTGCATCAGCAATCGAGTCCGGATACGGGAATGATTGATGCTGCTAACATCCACATTCACTCGACGCCTGAGTCTCGAAGGTCCAGAGCCGGCGCTAGCCAGGGGAGGGAAGCTAGTCAACCCGCCAGTGTGATCTCCCACACGTCCATCGCACTAGGGAGGAGGGGGGTGAAATCTCTACTCCTGAAGCCGTCAAGTCTCGAACATCTAGGAGTTCGGAAACACAGGAGAAGGATTTCGATGCTCATCTTCAATCCTTGGTTGAAAGAGGTTTCGCTGACCAGATCCGAAACATAAATGGGCAGCTCTGCCGAGGAGCAAGGCAGGTCAGGATAGATCGAGGCCCAAGCTGATGTCGATCGAATGTGGATGATTGTCCAGCATTTCGCGAGGACGGTGATCCCTGACAATCGCCAGGTTGTCAGGTCTGCTATTGATGAGCAGCATGTTCCATGAGTTGCAGGACTCCATTCAAGCCCGTAATCTCGGTGCGGATCAGGTTCACGAGCTTATCCATGACAAGAATGAAGCCACAAGGCGGAGTCAGAACGCTCTCGAGTAGTAGGTCAATCATGAATTTGAAGCACTCGAGAGGCGGATCGTCTCGCTAGAGACACTGTCCTCAGAGGGCATGTCTGTCGCGCGAGCAAGCAGGATGTCGGGGTGCAAACCCGCAGGTATATTCTATTGCCAGGGTCAAGTCGACGAGTGCACAAGGAGGGTGAATGACGTGGAGCATGATATCGACGAAGTGAAGGCCATGGGCGAGGATGCTCACGCCAGGCTTGAAACCCTTAATCACGCAGACTGTAGCGGCGGCGATCGCCGCGCAGAATACCGGCCAGCCGAATGCAGCATTTTGAAGGGGGAGTACTGATAGGACAAGCCGAGCTGCTGAGGACAGGACGGTTCGTAACCAGGGCGATAGCCAACAGGTGCGACGAGCAGATGTGAATCGCAGGAATCGTTCGAGCCGAGCGCTCAGGTGAACAGGCGCCCGTCTCCCGTTAGGGAAGGGGATGCTGAAAAGGGTGATATGCGTCGAACGGATCGATCCTCGACGAAGGAGTGACATTTCTCAATCACCAGGCAGGGACGCTGACATGAACCAGACGGTGAAGCCCGCTGGGACACCCGCTGGGGAATCAGGCGGAGATCGCCTAAACAGCCCGGAGGACGGACCCGCAATAGCGGGAACGCCTCTCCAGAACGGACTGCCCAAACGAGTTGACCAATTCGCGCTGGTGCTCCGGGAGGAAGTGATGGCCCTGAGGAGATTTGCGCTAGGGCGACAGATTCCATCCTTCCGCGCGACATGTTTGTGTTGCATGTGAGCGTAGGTACTCGGTGCTCTGCATGGGCGACGGTGGCCATTGCATGAATTGCGACCTTCTCAAGACGAAGTGCCGGGCCTGTCGCAAGAACAAACAAAGGGTCAAAGGATCAAGCGGACCATGATCGAGATCCTCATCACGCGGCCGGACGAGTACCAGATGGGAGGCTTGGTGATGGCCTCATCCCGATGAGCGCTCCGTTGCATCCGGAGGAGAATGCCTCCCATTGTGGAATGTCAAAGACAGGATGACTCTGGGAGGTCATCTTTGACCTCCGCGTGCAATGCTCGCTCACTGGTCCTTTGTACCTTACGAGGAAGACCATCGCCGCTAGGGACGAGATTTTGCTGGGAGTGTGGAAGTCTGCGTACATGCTGGTTGACTACACGACGTTGTGTCATCACACGTGGGACTATGGAACTTCGCCCCTAATGGGGAAATGCACAAGAGGACGAGAGAAGAGGCTGCCCTTACTGTCTGCACGACTCTCTGTCTCGGGTGCGCTGAAATCATCCCGTGCGCGATGCACTTGTGTTCTGTCCGTGCGCTCCCGATCTTCTACCCCGCTTTCGTTCCAACCCATTGGCAAACAAGCTTGCTGAGTCACCGATCGTGCCTGATTGGGTCAGGACGATGGGACTGTTTAACCCCAAGCCTTGATCTGAGGCTGACGGTGCAGAGTGGGGTCAAGCACGCATGGGGTGAGATGGCGACGGTGTTGTTCACATCGAACCATGCGTTGGCGATCATTGCATCGGACGCCTTTTTGGAGAAGTGGGTGGCGAAACTCCTCATCATCACATCACAGGAGGAGAAGCGGCAGGAGGATGACTACTTCCGTTAGGAAGCCGCCCAGGCACGACGTCTACATGTCGTACTACGTCCCCAGTCACAGTTTGACGGCGGCTGCGGTACTTCCTGGTGAGAGCGCATGGTGTTGACGAGGAACAGAGGCTGAAGGACGCCATCGCTAAGATGCAGCAAGCCTTGAAAGAAGGCAAGGCTGACCGACCCTCCGGCCATGAAAACGGCCCAGTGCATCCAACAGGGTCAGGACGGTGGTTGGTAAGGAGGAGCAGGAGCCGGAGGCCGTGAACATCAACAATCTCCAGTCAATCCACGATGCCGGGAAATCTTCGGATCCGGAGTCAAAGCTGAGGAAGCAGGAGACGGAGACCAACCCGCAGAAGGGGGAGTGGCAAGGGAGGTAAGGGCGCTAGCCCTGCTCGCGGCGCTAAGGTCGGGAAGGGGAGCGGAAAGGGCGCTAGCCCTACTGCTCCTAAGGCAAATGCAGCTTCAGGTCCTAGTGGAGGTTGCACCGAGGCCACCGCCTGGCAATATGTCCTACCTGCAGACAGCAATGCATGGCGCTGTGTGCACTGCCAAGGCTAAGTTACTCCTAGAAAGCCAGCAACGGCGTCAAGGTGGATGTCAAGCTTGAGGTCAAGGAGCGAAGGTTGAGGTGAAGCAGGAAAAGAGAAACTCCGGCTCCCGGCAAGATTCGGGGCGGAGGGGAAAAACGCGGGAGGCAGCGAGTCTCAAAGTGGGACACGGAGGAGCCTGCGAAGGAGACATCACGAAGATAGGAGGCCACTGCTGCTGCTCTGGAGGGAGGCGAGTGGCGATGACCTCGCTCTGCATTGGAGAGGTCGTCCAAGGAGCCTGCCAAGGTGTTGACGGTTTCCAAGGCGAAGGCGAAGAAGCCGGACGATGATGACAGACTGCGACGGAGCGTTTTGCCGCGAGCCAAAGTGTAGGATACTACACAGCTTTGTCTGCGGAACCTGCATTATCGATAATCCTGCGATCATCCGCGGACACAAGGCTTTCTCCATCTGTCCAGGTGATGATGCGTCGGCGTGGGAGGTGTTGAACAAGATCATGGCAAACACCGAGCGGGGAGAGCCGCAGAGAAGATGATGCGATGAGGGTGAGCTGAGTGGAAGGCACACATGTGGAGGTGATGATCGTGACCGAAGGAGAGGCGATCAGAGGAATCGCAGGCAGGTGCCGCCTAGTGAAGATGATCCTTCGGTCAAAGCAAGTTCGTGACCGAGATCGTGCGTAGGGGAGCTGCCGATAGGCTTGCTCCCCGCCTTGCGATGGTCTGCGCTGGGCGGTGGTCGCGATGTCCTTCGAGCGCCAAGGACGCGATGTCTCTGGCCACTCTGGAGATGGTGGAGCGAGAGAGGGAGCAGGTTAGTGGAGGATACTCTACAATCTACAGAAATATTTTAGGTTTGCTTGGCATGGAAACGCGCGTATTTGGCCGATAGGCCAGGGTGCCTTTGCACAATTTTCTGGTTTTGACTACATGGCTTCTGATAAGAATAAATCTTGCATCTCTGATGCAAGCAGTAGTGATGTGAACTTTCTCGCTGGATGTTGGAGTGCGTTGCATCGATTGATTCGGGGTGGTGGCGGGAACTTAAAGCCCGTGGAAACCAAAAATCCGGGCAACCCCCCTCCAGAAGCCAATGAACCCCTCTAGAAACTTGTCAATTCCCCTCCAACAACAAGTCCGACTCCGGCTAGCCAAGCGGCAAAATGCCCACCCAGAAACCAGCCAAATTCCCTGGAAATGTGCACCTTCGCTTGGCCCAAGCCCATTGCCATTTTGTAGTTCTCTGCGGCCCTCGTTCTGGCCCCTGAAGTCATGTAGAAACACGTGGACATGCACCCATTTCGGCGCCAACTCACTCACTCTAATAAACATAAGACTTCAAGGCAAACTAAAGCACGGTAACTACCTCAAAGCCAGCCAAAAGCGGACTGGCCAAGGTGGGCAACGCAAAGCGTACAATAAACCCCGTCTTACAAGAATAAATATATGTCGCAAATAGATAATTCGGAATTAGGTTGCAAGTCAAACAGAACATAGCCATAATGTCGCACTGCGTTTATACCAAGAGGCGCTCTAAGCTTGAATGATCTAACAAAGATGCTTGTGCCTTGACAAGACTATGAGTTGCTCAGGATCCCTGGTGGAACCCGTCTCAAAATTGTGCAGCAAGCCGCTCAGCAGGGCGGGATGGCGCCGTAGGGCAGGGGCGGATTGGCATCCCACTGCCCACCACGGCCTCTGTTCCGGGGACCGACACGACGTTTCCTAGACCCACATGGGTGCGTGTTTGATGGGAACACCGGTTGGATCCCCACAAAGGATCCATCAGGAGATCCATATGGACATCGTCCCCTCTTCCACTGACCAAAGAGCTAGGGAAGGCTGACAAAGCCCATGGAAGGTTAGCAACAACTCCATGCCCAGAGTCGACATCATTTGCTTGGAACCGTTTGAACCCGTGTCATTCTTCCACCCGCAATGATGATCCAAACTTCACTCTGCAGGCTTCATCTTAAGGTTGGTCGGCCTCCAGGAAATTGTACAAGAAAGGGTGCTCATTGGACCAGTTCTGCCAATGGTTAATGTTTGGACTTTGCCCACCATGGGATCTGCCTCCCGCCCAGCCTGGGTCCGTGATGGAACCCCACACGCCCCAGGAGCCCGTGTGCACATAGGCCCAAATGCTCTTCAACGAGCCAGCGCTTCCAATCATGATGGCGGTGGGCTTTCCCCTACTCGCCATCGAGCAGACCTGGAGCATGATGTCTTCCTCAGCGAAAAGGGGCCGTGATGCTGTGGCTGCTTTTAACAGGAACCCTGCTCACGCAAATCAAACATTAAATGGCAAGTGTATGACTGCTGCATGAAAAGAGGCTCGGCTTGTCTCTTTTGAAGGCCACTTGCAACACATGAGCCAATCGTTGTCCCAGTTGGTTGACCCGAAAGAATGATCATTGCAACACCAGCGCAGAACCAGCCGAATAAAACAACAACAACCATGGATGGTTTTCCCTTGGTTTCCCTTTCAAACAACTCAACCAACCATAGGCGGCTTTCAAACAACCCGAAGGTTGTCTTTCTTTCAAAGCCCTCAGCTGGTCGATTGATCCGCCGCCCCCACCCAAACCCATTGCCGCAACCCTGTTTGGATGCTCCCAAAAATGGCGCAGGCTGAAAACGGGGTGGCTCGGTTCGGAGGCGTGGAGGTTGAGGAACCCCATGACTACCCTCTCTCAATTAAATTTGTCTAGTATTTCCCAGAAAGGGGAGTGACAATGGGAACCATGCATGGAATTACGGGGGTTGGGATACGAATAGCATGTTCAGATTTGGGTCCATAGTTAGTCATTAGTCAACCTTAAAATAATGAAGGAAAAGACACATTTTCTGAGGAGACCCAGCGAAGCAACTAATCGATCGTGTGGCTGGAGTTCGCTTTACTGGGTGGGAGCTTGCAACAAATAAGTGCAAGCTCATGCAAGAAAAAAAAACATTGATTTTCTTGGGGGGTTCTCCTAAGCTTCCGTTTTAGTTCCCTTCTGGAACAACCCAACACAAAGGTAATCCCTCAACTGCCTCGGCGAGACCCATCCTTACCAACCGAGCGAAGTGAAGGAACAGGAAATGCAGGATGGATTAAGAGATGGCACCTATCTCTCTCACACATCTTCATCAAGGCAATTCCGAAGGTGATAGATATATGGGTGGGTGTGAGAGAGGGAAGGAACAGAGCGGATAGGTGGGAGAGAGAGTACATAAGACCCACCTCTATCCACTTCTCCCTTCCAGTTTCTTTTCTTTTCCTATCTTTTCCTTTTACCATCGTCTCACCTCTGTGTTTGGGAGTTCTTGAGGTGAAGAATGACGAAGGAAAAGAGAAGGAAAAGATGGGTCTGGTCTCTCTCCTTCATATGACATCTTGGATGATGCTAGGTAAGGAAGGAGAGATAGAGACCAGACAAGCCATTTCCTTTCCCTTCATGTCTTATTCACTTGTCCATCATTTGCCGAGTTCAACCGACCCTCGAACCCACCCACACACAAAAACACAAAACACATGCATGTTATTCTCTTGACTGAAGTACATTTACTTTCTTGATATTGACTGTTGCTCATATCTTCCATGCGTTGTGGTGTTGCAACCCGCTGGTAGCTTCACCACATACCCTCACTCTAGGAATTATGGGGATAATCTGTTGTTCCCTGCTTCCAGCACGCTGCTTTATCAGATTTGCCCCAGATTCAAGCGCAAATGCGCTGAAAATGTTGCTGCGCTGCAGCCTTCAGCTCCCTGATGGACATCGCTGGTGAGACTTCTATAAAGCAAGCATCTCCACTGGGCAGGTGAACATCCACCTTCATGGCGCAGGAAGGGTCGGCCGAGTAGATTCGAGTTGCTCAACATGAACCTGAAACACGCACGCACACCCACACACACCCACACATGTCATTACATGTTTGAGGTGGGTCCCGCTTTGGATGGCACACCCTTGCAAAAAAAAACAAAAACGGTCCCCCTGCGAGGACCTTCCCAGCTGTTTAACGGGGCTTTGGTGGGGGACTAACGCGGTCGGGTTTGGGGCTGAAGATTGAATATGTCAAGGTGCATCCAAATAAAACAAACAAAAAAAAACGAAAGAAAACACCAACAACCAACAACCACAACAACCACAACAACAACCACGACACCAACCACGACACCAACCACGACGACGACAACAACCGCGACATCGACGACGACAACGACGACGACAACGACGACGACAACGACAGCAGCGGCGGCGGCGACAACCACAACCACAACAACAGCAACAGCAACAGCAACAGCAACAGCAACAGCAACAGCAACAGCAACAGCAACAGCAACAGCAACAGCAACAGCAACAGCAACAGCAACAACAACAACAACAACAACAACAACAACAACAACAACAACAACAACAACAACAACAACAACAACAAACAACAACAACAACAACAACAACGACATAACAACAACAACAACAACAACAACAACAACAACAACAACAACAACAACAACAACAACAACAACAACAACAACAACAACCAACAACAACAACAACAACAACAACAACAACAACAACAACAACAACAACAACAGCAACAACAACAACAACAACAACAACAGCAACAACAACAACAACAACAACAACAGCAGCAACAACAACAACAACAACAGCAACAAGCAACAACAACA